GGGAGCCATCGCATCCCCCAGAGCTCCGGGGGCCGGGAGGGACCATGAGTGTCGCACCCGTGTCCTGAAATGTGGTCCCTTGATGCACACCGGGGGCACGAGTCGGCTCTTGCTTGCATGCCCTGTGGCACACAGCCCCGGGCTGGAGGAACAGCCTCCAAATCCAGCCGTCACCCTGCAAGGAGAAACCCAACCTCCTGGGCATCTCCCGGTAGCATCTCCCCGTCTCCGGGTGCCACGCTCCCCTCGCTTCCCTGCGTGCCTGCATGCCCTGGCGCACCGGCCACGCTGCCCGTGGCGGCGGGCTGTCGCTCACGCCTGCCTCCGCTCCCTTCCCAGACCATGCTGCTGGAGAGGGGCCGCGTCGCCCAGAAGCCCCGCGGAGAGAGCAGCTTCAACGTCTTCCCCCTCATGCTGGCGGGGCTGGATGCGGCGCACAGGTGGGTGTACGGCTCTCACGGCACCGGGCGGCTCCGCTCCTCGCCTGGCTGCTCGTGCGATGGTACCCCCATCGCCGAGGGGGTCCCCCGTGATTTATACCCATGTTTGCTCCAGCAGTGTGGGTTTTGAGGCCTCTCTGATGAGGAAGAGGCTGAAGGTGACCACATTGGTGATGCTGCAGATCAGATTTTTATAAAACCAAATTTTTATATATTTATATATCAGAGATTTTCTAGGAAACGGGCGTTTTCTGGTGCTTTGTTTTCCCCATCGCTAACACTGAAATGAGGCTGACTAAATGAGGCAGAGGTCCCTTTCCCTGTTTGCTGCTGCCTTTTCCCCACAAGCTGCGCATCCCCGGGCTGCCCGGGGGACGGGGCCACGTGCCTCTGGTGCCGGTTCCGTCCCCATGCACAGGGCAGAGCCACGGGAGCCTTTCCCGACATGGTCCCTCGGACATCACTGTGACAGCAACGGGGCTCCGTGGGCGCTGGGCTGGGGCAGAGCATCGGGGACGCTCCCCGAGGAGAGGGCAGGGGGCCTGGGGGGCGCGGGGGGCAGAGCTTGGGGCCCATTTGCCGTAACTGCTTCCAGGACGATGCTGCACTTGCACCAGGCGGCTGAGAGCAACTCCTTTGGGATCGAGCCCTTCTCAAAGGTAGGGAGAAATGCGGGCGCCGCGCGGCCGCCTGCAGCGGGATGCTGCAGCGCATGTCCTTTGTCACCCCCCGTTGGAAGATGTGTGGGGGTCCGTGGCTGCTGGGAGACTCAGGATGGTGCTGCCGTACCGGGCGCGTGGAAGGAGAGAGCGAATGTTGGGGGGTGAGGAAGGGTCTGCCCAAACAGCCTCCAGCACCCCTCCGACAGCCCCACGGCAGCAGGGGAGCTGCCAGGCCCGGGGCTGCTGCTGCCCGGTGTCTGCGCCCGCGTTTCGGGCACCCCCAGACACCCCGGGGACAGGTCCTGATGCGCCGGATTCAACAACCCCCAGTGTTTCCCCATGGCAGTGACTCCTGGGGGCGAGCGCATCCTTTGGAGAGCCCAGAACGGGCTTTTTAGGGGCTAAAAGTACCGCAGTTGATTTCCAGCACCAGCTCCTTTTTTAGTCTGAGCCGTTTGCAAAGATCGGGCACGTTGCCTACGAGCCAAAGCGCTGGGATGAATCGCGGCAATTTGCAGTGACATCATCTACTGATAAATTCAATATTCAATCTTCATTAGGAGCTCCTGCTCCGGTCCGGCAGCCAAAGGAGTGGGCTGTTTGAGTAGCAGCTCTCGCGGAGGGCACGGCGAGGTACTGCGGGTCCTCGCTCTGCTGGTGCAGCAGCAGATTTGGGTTCCGAGACGGGGTTTTACCCTCCTTTTGCAGCCCCCGATTCCTGCGGGTTCCCCATCCCAGCGCAGAAGGTTTTCCCGCTGGGATGCAGAGGGTCGGCAGGAGCCGGGCAGCGCCTCTTCAGTCCAGGGCATGTGAGCTCTGCAAAGGGGACACACGCTGTCTCCGCCACCGCTTCTCCTGCGCCCCAGTGATGTTCCCCACGGCACACGTGTCCCCAAAAAGCCGGGCTTGGCCATTGGGCTCAGCACGGCGCGGTTGCCCGAGGAGTGCCCAGGATGCCAGGGATTGGGGGGTGGAAGGATGGTCCGCCCAAAAACTCCCCGGGGGGCTCAAATCCCGCTCCGCAGCCTGGCTGTCGGCGGTGGGTTGTTCGCGTGCTCTGGAACCAGCCCAGCAGGAAAGCCAGAGCGTTTGGGTTGGGTTGGAGTTTGGGGAAATTTGTCGGGCTTTCCTTTCTGAGCGGTGCTATGGATGCCGAGACTGAAAATTTAATTGACGGCGGCTTCCCAGCGCTCATCCCCGCGGGCGGTGGGGGTGGATAACCCCTGCTGTGACACCGGTGTCACAAGTATTTGGGGTATCTTTTTTTGAATCTGGAGAAATCACAGACCTCAGCTGTATTTTCTCGTTAGTAGCCACCCCGTAGGCCTCTGCAGGAGCCGAAATCCTTCAGCCCAGGCAGGCTGGTCCTTGCCAAGGCAGGGATGCTGCCAGCCGGGGCAGGCGTGCGGTGTCTGGCCCCTGGGCTGCATGTGTCTGCACTGAAAATCCTCAGTGTAGGGGGGAAAAGGCCCTAATTTTGTGGTGGGGCTGGGTTTATTAAAAAAACGGATGGGGGCACAGGGGT